ATTAACAGATGCTGAAAAATTATTTCTTATATCTACATGTTTAGAAGTTGATGCACGTGATTGGTTTTTTGATAACTCACATTTATTTACAACATGGATATCATTTACGCAACAATTAATTAACACATTTGAATCTGCAGGAAAAGCTGATATTTCATTTAATCGATTACGTCATTATCAACAAGGTTTAACTCAAGATGTTAGACAATATTATTTTGAAGTTATGAAATTATGTAAAGAAGCAAATCCATTAATGGATGATGCTAGTAAATTACAATATTTGAAGGATGGTTTAAAACCTTCGTTACGTTTTGATGTATTATTAAAAGATCCACAAACGCCTGAAGAATTTTTACAATATGCTCAAAGAGTCGAAGAACTCAAATTATTAGATGATAAACAAGATGTTTCAACCTGTTATGTTGAACAAAAATTTGCAAATTCTCCATCAATGAATGCACAAAATATGCATATAAAAACACAACCAACTAATCCAACATATTCATTTCGACAATCAAAAGATTTTAAAATGCGTGATAAACCCAATTATAACAACAACAATTCGAGACAAATGTCTACAGAAACATCAACAACTCAATCTCAATATTACAACACTATATCGAAACCACAATATCAATGTTACAAATGTGGTGGTCGAGACCACTACATTCGTAATTGCCCACATTTTCAATAGAGGAATCGCCGCAAGGTGGTGGCGATTCCTGCAACTCTATACAAAATCCATCACCAATTTTTATTCATACAAAAGTAAATCAAATTCTTATGAAAATCATGTTTGATTCTGGTTCAACTAAATCTTTTATTAGCAAAACAACATTATATCGTTCAAAACATTTACCAATTAAATTTCATAAACACCATTATTTGATGGCAGACGGTTGTACAAAGTTTGAAGTTATTGGCACTGTAAAAATTTTCATTGAAATTAATCATATCAAAACAAACATAATAGTAGGTGTCGTTAATTCTTTATGTACTGATTGTATTTTAGGAATGGATTATCTTAATAAATATAAAGTTAATCTTAACAACAAACAAAAACAAGTACAAATTTATACGTCTAAAGATTATACTATGTTACCGATGCAACATCAATTAAAAAAAATTAGAACTCCATGTCGTTTAAGGCATTCCATACATTTACATCCATATCAAGAACGACCAATAAAAATTACTTCCGAAGTACCTTCAGGACAATTCTTATTTTCCCCTGCCTATGCTATGACAAATATACGGGGTTTAATTATACCATATTCATTAATTTCAATAAAAAATTATGTGTTTTGGATTTCTATGTATAATCCATCAGCCCAACCATGTTATTTACATAAAAATGTTATTGTTGGTATTGCAACATCATTAGATTCTAATACGAGCATTTCTCCCATTTTTAATTTACAAACAAAAGAAAAAAATGACAAAGATCATACAAATTCATTAATCAATAATAGTGAACAAAACATCCATAGTTTATTAAAGCATATACAAGATGCACAACACGTCAATGATTTAACGATTATATTAAAGAAACATCGGTCTTTATTTGATACAACAAAAACAACAATTGCTGAAACACCAACACCTCATGTTATTTGTACTGGTGATAACCCGCCGACAACATCTCGGCCATACCCACAAACTAGTGAAAAACAAAATGCAACTTTTGATAGCATTCAACAAATGTTAAAGCATAAACAAATTCGGGCATCCCATTCTCAATATTCAGCACCAATTCTATTAATTAAAAAACGTGATGGTTCATATCGATTTATTGTTGATTATCGTAAATTAAATAGTATAACAATTCAAGATAATTATCCATTACCAAACCTGGAACAAACTATACAAATGGTTGGTGGTCATCAATATTATACAAAATTAGATCTTCGTTCAGGATATTTTCAAATACCTATTCGTGAAGAAGATAAACATAAAACGGCGTTTATTACTGTTCATGGACTTTATGAATTCAATGTGTTAGCTCAAGGTCTCAAAAATAGTCCACCATCATTTCAAAGAATTATGTCAAATATTTTATTATCATGTAAAAAATTTTGTTTAATTTATTTGGATGATATATTAATTTATTCTGATTCATTTACCCAACACATGGATCATTTAAATCAAGTATTAGATATTCTCAATAAACATAAATTTCAACTTAATCCACAAAAATGTGAATTAGCAAAAACAGTTATTGATTATTTAGGTCACACAATCAGTATTCAAGGTATTAAACCATTACAAGAACGTATTGAAAAAATTTTAGCTATTCCACAACCAACAACATTAAATCAAGCTAATGCTTTTATTGGTGCCATTGGTTGGTACCGCAAATTTATTAATGATTATGCAAAAATAGCCGCACCAATATTAGCAGTTACAAATTTAACTAAAAATAATAAACATAATTTTAAATGGGAAGAATCACAACGAGAAGCTTTTGATCAATTAAAAACAGCTATTACATCTGAACCATTATTTTTAACTTATCCTGATCCAAATGCACCTCTCATTTTATCAACTGATGCATCAGATTATTGTATTGGTGGTGTCTTGTATCAAGAAATTAATGGTGAACGAAAAAATATTTATTTTTATTCTCAAATGTTACCAAAATTACAACGAAAATGGCCAACAATTGAAAAAGAAGCATTAGCTATCTATTATTGTGTTACACGTATGAAATTATATTTACAAGGTCGTGAATTCATTGTTCAAACGGATCATTGTCCATTACGTAATATGCATTTAAAACCATCCAACAATCGTCGAGTTGATCGTATATCATTAATATTACAACAATACAATATTAAAGAAATTCGTCACGTGTCAGGTAAATGTAATTGTATGGCTGATTATTTAACTAGGTATCCACGTCAATTAGAAGATGATGATGAATTTTTCGATTCTGATTTTGGTATTATACCAGCATTAAAAACTGATGTAGATAAAAAACAAGTAGATAAAAACAAATTAGTTACTCCACCTTTTATTAGTGCAGCAACAACTCGTGCTCAAGCCAAAGCTAAAGCACATCAAATACCATCAAATAATATTGATAATCCTCCGAATCATGTAGCATTGACAGATGATCCACCTCCACGAGAGGCAGGTCATGATTTTGATATTGCACAAATTGCTGAAGCTCAAAAAGAAGATAAATTATATCAAGAAAAATTATTAGAAATAAATGAAAAACAAACCAACTGCTCATATGTATTAGAAAATGGCATATTGTATAAAATAATTAATCGTGGTATGTTTAAACAAAAATTAATTTATATTCCTTCTTTGATATTACAGCGATTATTAAAGGCTTATCATGACAGTCCTTGGGCAGGACATTTTGGTTTTCGTCGAACTTATTTAAAATTGAAAAATAGGTACTGGTGGCCGAATATGAAAAGCATTATCAAGAATTATATTCAAAATTGTATGTTATGTCAAAAATTTAATATTGAACGTCGTAAATCATCTGGTTTATTACATCCTATTGAATCACCATGTGGTCCTTTTCAACTTATTGGAATTGATTATTCTGGACCATTTCCAATCACACCTCAAGGAAATAAATATGTTTTAGCAATTACTGACTATTTTACTAAATGGGTTATTGCTATTCCATTACCTAATCAAACAGCCCAAACAACAGCTGAAGCTTTATATGAACATTATATATGTATTTATGGTGTACCGATGAGAATTCTTTCTGATCAAGGTTCTCACTTCAATAATGAATTAATGGTGGCATTTACTCAATCATTAGGTTGTCATCACATAAAATCAACTCCATATCATCCACAAACGAATGGTGCTATTGAGAGATTCAATTCAACATTTGAACGTCAATTAGCAAAATTAACTGATCAACAAATTAATGATTGGGATATTCATCTAAAATCAATTACATTCGCGTACAACACGGGACAACACGCAACAACGAAATTCTCACCATATCAATTACAATTTGGGCGAAATCCTACATTACCACCTGATATGCCACGAAGATCTTATGAATTTTCCAAACCAAATGATTATTTTCATCACTTCAAACAAACACTGAAAATTTATCACCAACACGCAACCATGAACATCAAACAACAGCAGCAAATTTACAAGAAATATTTCGATCATAATCGCCCTGATATCTACTACTCAACTGGTGATCAAGTACTTAAACGAATTACCACTCAATACACTAAATTGGGCGAACTTTATTCTGATCCTATGGTTGTTGTTCAAAGCAAACATCCAACTTATTGGATAGAAGACCCAACAAGTCATCAAATTCACCAAGTACACGTCTCTCAATTGCGAACGTGTCGTCTTCATCATTAAGAAATTCAAAAAAAAAAAAAAACAAATTCAGCAGTTAGCAACAAAATCAATTGATGATGATTCACTTCAATATTTGTTAATGAACGAACACGTTCATCTTTACACTTTCTTCTTTTATAAAATCAACATCCATTTCATGTATTATCATTACATTCTTATCAAGCATTAACCGCATTCATTATTCGACAACCAACATTATTATCAAATGAACAATTTTGTTTACAATTACTTCAAGATTTAAAACAATCATTATATTGTGCGCATTTTCCATCATCAATAACAATATTAATTAAAAATGATAATGATATATTATAAAAAAAAAAAAAAGGAACCAAATCAAAAATGTTTTATTTATGTTATACGAATATGATAGTGACAGAACAATTTTTCGTACATTAAGATTTTTATTACAATTTACATCTAATTTAAGTGAACATATACATGGACATGTATTAAATTTATTATCAGTTATGTTTTTTATAACCAAACATGATCCATCATTACCTATTCAAATTATCCAACGTCTTTAACAACATTTCAATTATATCAACAACAATCAATAGCTGGTACAAATATTCATGAGTGTGAAATTATGCCAACTCAAGCAGCAAATGCATTTCTATATTTATGAAAAATTTTACTATTAAAATGATTGATTATTATTCTGAATTATTTCCATTTATATGTCAACTTTATAAAGATGAATTTCAATTAACTAAAACTTTATTATCAATAACAATTAATGCATCATCATGTTCAACATTAAAATTACTTGATGCAGCACAAACAGTACTTTATTATAAATTCATTCATAATAATGATGAAACACAATTTGAAGCATTTTATGAACTTATTAAACTAATTTATGAAACATTTATAACATCATTAACAATTGATTCATTAATACCATTTATATAATATCTTGATTTATGTTCAAATGAAACAATTGATATAAATATAATACGTTATCGACGATGAAATTTAATGCTTGCTTTACATTGCTTGTGTTTATTAATACATTATTCAAAACAACAACAATTAAATCCTATTATACGTTCAAAAATTACTATTTATATTCGACCATTTTTATTTGATTCTATATTAAAAATAATACAATTTCATAATCAATTATATGATCGACACATAAATCTATTTTATGAAACATTTAAAATTAATTTAACATATAGTAAAAAAAAAAAAAAAAAAGAACAATTATATTTAGGAACTTATGAAAGTAATAATATGGCTAAAGCAACAATTACATCAACTACTACACCATCAAGTCTCCCCGTAAGTTTTGTTCGTTTTCAATCAACATCTGGTGGTAATATAATTGACGATCAACGTCTTCGTGATTATCTTCATCGTTTATTTGATATATGTTATCAAATAAATGGAATTTTTTTGCTCATGATACTGATTTATATTATTTAAAAATAAAATGATGATCATTATTTTAAAACATCATTTTTACAAAAAAAATTCTTTTTGAAAATTTAAATACACTTCCATCATTTCGTCGTCGTATTGGTTTACGATATTTTGTCGATCATTTGTTGAACATTATGGTTCATTATTAACCTTAGATAAAGAAATAATAAATGAACTATTTCTTACATTTCTTGATATATTTTTACCTTATATCCAACAACGTTTAACAACTATGTGGAATAGTTTATTAACAACAATAATTAATTATCAACAAGGTGAATGTTCAGATGAAGTTATTGAAGAATGTGTTTGCGTTTTATTAACACGTGATTTCGTTGATATTATACGATATTTTATTTATAAAACAACAATTATTGGACAAACAAATTTAATAAAAGTGGAACAAAAGAAAAAAAAAACAGAATAATATAATGAATGGACATGGTCATAGTGACAGTATGTGTGAAGAAAGAAATGATATTGTATAGTGAATAACAATTGACCAATGAATTATATATTTCCATGTAATACATTTTATGTTACGTCATCTATTATTTTTATTTGTTTATCGTTTACAAGTATAACACTTGCATTACGTCATTCGTTCATTATTTTGTCCACTTATCAAGAATTTATCACGTGCTGTTATTATTGTTGTTTTATTTACTTATGTGATATTTTATTTACACTTTTTATTTACATATTACACATTAAACTTCTGGTTTCGATTATTATTATTTTTTTTTTCTCTATTATATTTAGGTTGTTCATCTTCATGTTATTACTGTTATAGTTCTTATTACAGATTCATCAACGTCCATTGTTGTACTTGTCATCTCGTTATTTTTTTTCTCCATTTTGATTTCGTTTACTATTTGTTTACTTTACTTATATGTTTAGTCGTTTTGATTTGGTGATATCTACTTATTGTTTACAACTGGTTTAGTTCATCTAGTTCTTATTGATTCTTTATTTATTGATATATATTGATTCTTTATTTATTGATATATATTGATTCTTTATTTATTGATATACATTCAGTATTTATTTATTGATATATATTCGTTATTTGTTTATTGATATGCTTTGGTTATTTATTTATTGATATACTTTGATTAGTTATTTATTGATACACATTGGTTATTTATCTATTCGTATATATTATCGTGTATCATGTCAACAAATAAATCATTAAAATCTCGTCGTCGTTTTGAAAATAAAAACGAAAAAGAATTAATATACGAAGAATTATTTCCACCTTATGAATCACTTTACAAATATCACATTTATTTTATCAATGCCTTAACATCTGAAGAAGAATTAAAAAATGTATGTGATATTATTAATGGTAAAACTGATTTTATATTCGACACAGAGTCTGATATACATTCAAAGACACCTGCACTTATTCAAGTTTTGATTGTACAAGAAGATCCAAAACCGCTGTTGGTTTTATTAATTGAAACGACACATTTACCTGATATATCATCATTACGTTTTCGTGAAATTCAAAAATTATTTCAATATTTATTTCGTACTGGAACAAATTTATATTCTTGGGGTCCATTAACAGATGAATTAACTCGATTTCAAATTTATCAATTATTTTCTTTACCTGATCCTGCACGAATATTTAATGTACAACGTATATTTACAAAATGGTTTAATGAATATATTAATAAAACATCTAATGATAATAATAATAATAGTAATACAACAACAAATGATGATTCAGTTATTATCAATGCACCTGAAATTGATCCACAATTATTTTTACCACCAATAATGATGAATGATCTTAAAGTTAGAAACAATGAACTATGGAGTTTACAAGATGCAATCGCATATATTTTTTATAAATACCTTTCAAAACGAGAAACATTAAGATCCTGGTCTATTGGTTTGGACAAACGATTACCATCACGTAATAAGAATTACTCATTAAATTATCGTAAACGTTTAATTCAATATGCATCATATGATTGTTTATCATTACTGGAAATAATATTATTTATGTATGAAAATTATTTATTTGATCATCCTGTTAATAATTTGCATATTCAATCTTTAGGGGAGTATTTTTCTTATGTAACTACAGATTTTACTTCTTTTTCTTCTTCTTCAGCTAAGAATCATCACATGTATGAAAAATTATTCGACGATGACAGCGATGATTCTATGACAGTTCATGATTTAGATGAACGTCATCAGTTTTCATCTGAAGATCAAATAAATGAACAATATCTTGATATTACTTCACATTCACCTGAACATCAAACAATTGAACCATTTTCTAATTTTGATCAACATTATCAAGAACTTGAATCAAATTATGATATTAATGAAAATCAACAAGTACTTCAACAACATTATGATATTTATCCACAGCAACAAGAAATTGATTTTTATGTACCACATGATCAATATTTAACAACTGATCAGCATCATTCTCAACAAACTAATTATCATCATGAAATTGAAATTAATTATCATGTACAAGACAATAATCTTAATGTTATTTCTAATTCTTCAGGTAAAACAAAAACAAAATCAACATCAAAAAGATCCAAAGCTGCACGAGAACGACGAAACATTAAAACTAACAGACGACATCGAAGGAATCGATACAAATTTGAAATTATTCGTCCACTCAACACTACCATCGCCAATGTTAAAAAAATTTTACATTCTTATGCTGTACCATATCTTAATGTCAACCCAGTTCAATCAACATTATATATTGATTTAAAATCAAAAGACTTTCAAGATTATTTTGAACAATTGTTACCGATGGACATATTTTTGTAAGTCAGATATCTATGTTTTTTTCTTTTCTTTTTTGTTATTGTTATTTTTTTGTTGTTATTGTTATTTTTTTGTTGTTATTGTTTCTTTTCGTTTTTTCTTTCCCTCTTTTTTTTTTCTCTTTTGTAAGGGGGGAGGTGTTAGGATCGCCATCTATTATAGATGGACGATCCTCCTTTTCTTCTCTCTGTGATACAAGTAGATATGTGTGGATGATTATATCATCTATTCATATTATTATTTATTTATTTATGATTATTGTTTTTGTTGTGTTTGTTGTGGTTGTAACTTAAAAAAGGATACATAAAATAAAATAAAGTAAAGGATCCTAACAACCATGAGCTGGAAAAAATGTTCAGAAATCCAATTTCGATTTAAAAACCTCTTCGATCCTTTAATGCTACAAGTTGATAAAAAATTTTAAAGATATTCTATTATCATTATCTATTTGTGATCATTTGCGCCAACGATAACCTCGATTCGTCTTATTCCTGACGAAATGAATGCCATATTTAAAAATGAGAATACTATGTCTCAGTCGATCAGAGGAATATTACAAATATTTCTATTTTTTTTCCAAATTAGGTCCCCTCGTGAAACTTGTATCTACTATTGGTCTAGTGGATAAATTGAAAGACTTCTGTCAAAAAAAAAGTTCAATATCGTATATGGTTCTCGCAACATGAGGCTTTGATAAAATATAATGCCTACTCAGTGAGCGCATATCTGAATTTTTCTAAATTAAATCTTTCATTTACCACGAAAAAATTCAGTTCATCTGTTTCTTTTGAGGCAGAAAACGTTCTGAAAATGAAATATTTAATCACATATGTCGCTCTACAAAAAGCAGAGAAAAATTCTCAGAAAACCAGTTTTCACTTTAAAACCTTTAGAATTCCTAAGCGGTACAGGTTAATAAAAAATTTTAAATATCTTCTACTATGATGAGGTGTTTCTGATCATTTCCAGTAAGAATGGCATCAATTCATGAAATTCCTGAAGAGTTGAGTGCCATATTTGAAAATGAGTATGCTATGTGTCAGTGCATGGCAGGAGTATCACAAATATTCAGATTTGTTTTTCTAAAATAGATCCGATCGTGAAATTTGTTCTTACTATTGCTATGGTAGGTGAATAGAAAGATTTCTGACAAGAAAAAAATTCAATATCTCATATGGTTTTCGAATGGTTCGGCTTTGACATAAGCCAATGCCTTTCAGGTACACAAGCACGTGAATT